CGACCCGCCCGTTAGGGCCCGCCCGACCCGACCCGTCCCGCCTGTTAGGGCCCACCCGCCCGACCCGACCCGACCCGCTCGTTATGGTTCACGCGTGTCAAGCGCACACGCACCGCACTTTAACGTCCCGCCCGCCCGACCCGACCCGACCGCTAGGGCCCGCCCGGCCCGGCCCGACCCGCCCGTTAGGGCCCGCCCGCCCGACCCGACCCGACCCGCCCGTTAGGGTTCACGCGCGTCAAGTGCACACGCGCCAGGGCCCGCCCGACCCGACCCGACCCGCCCGTTAGGGTTCACGTGTGCTCGTGCACGCACCATAGCTGCCCCGCCCGCCCGACCCGACCCGCCCTTTAGGGCGCCTGCCCGACCCGACCCGCCCGATAGGGCACGCGTGCCAACTCGATGATGCATCATACTTTAACGTCCCGCCCGCCCGACCCGACCCGCCCGTTAGGGTCCGCCCGCCCGACCCGACCCGCCCGTTAGGGTACACGCGTGCCAACTCGATGAAGCATCATACTTTCATGTCCCGCCCGCCGGATCCGACCCGCCCGCCAGGGTCCGGCCGCCCGACCCGACCCGCCCGTTAGGGCACACGCGTGCCAACTCGTTGATGCATCATACTTTAATGTCCTCATCATCATGATCATCATCATCATCATCATCATCCTCATCCTCATCATCATCATCATCACCATCGCAGCCATTATTCGGCCGAGCGCCTTTTCAACGGCGTCGTTCGAGACAGACTGGTTCCCTCGCCCAGCTTCGCGGTACGTTTGTGTACGTGCAGGCCTCATGGCTCCGAAGGCACAGCCAGCCCAGGTCGTTGCGTCGGCCGCTGCGCCCGCGCCGCCCGCGCCGGCGCTGGCCGGGCAGCCTGCCCCCGCCGAGCCAGCTTTCCAGGTGGTCCCCTCCAAGCGCGGGGGCGACGAGCTCTTTCACCAGGGCTACCTTTACACGTTGCGCTACACCGCAAAGAACGGAGACCGGTCGTGGTGTTGCGAGAAGGGGAGGGAGGTTTGCGGCGCTCAAGCCAAGACCCGCTTCGAAGGCCCCCGGACGATCGTCGAGCAGATCGGCGCCCACACGCACTTGCCCAACCCAGAGAAGGGCGTCAAAGAGCAGGTCCTCGCTAAGGCCAGGGCCGCTGCTGCCCAGCAGCCAGACACCGCGGCGGCAAACGTGGCTTCCGCGGCTCTAACGGGCGTCGGGGACGGGGCCCTGCCAGCCGTTCCGTCCACACAGAACCTCAAGCGCGCGTGCTGGAGGGCGCGGGCGTCGGGGCAGCAGAAGCGGCTCAAGAATGGGGCGCCAGCCCCTGAGGACGTCGACTACTCCTCCCTCGCGACGTTGACCGTGGTCGAGAGTCTCAAGCAGGTCGACGGCGAAAACTTCCTCATGTACGACGACGGCCCTGGCGCGGGGGACAAACGCTTCCAGATGTGGGCCTGCCAGAAGAACTTGGACTTTTTGGCCACGGCGGACATTTGGCTCTCCGACGGCACCTTCAAAGTGGCGCCCAAGCCGATTCTGCAGGTGTACACTGTGCGCGGCTTCCAGAACGGCTACGTCATCCCCTGCTGCTACTTTCTCTTGGGGGACAAGAAGCAGCCCACGTACAAGCGGGCGCGGGAGGTACTCTTCCAGCGCTTCCACCCGGACGAGCCAGAGCCAACGCTCTTGCTCGACTACGACAAGGCCGCGTGCCAGGCAGCCTCCGAGAAACCTGCTCCTCTGCACCAGCGGGCGCTATGCCCCCCCATGAGCAAGTGGGGGCAGCGGCCAGCTGCGTGCCGCCGCCCGCCCACTTAGTCGTAACATGCCCCTCGATATTGAAAGATTTTTGTGTTTTCGGGATATGATGCGGCTCGGCCGGCACAGGTGTCGCCGCAGGGTCCTCTGCTCCCGCGGGTGCCATGCCCCCCCACAAGCAAGAGGGGGCATCGGCCAGATGCGCGGCACCCCCCCGAACCACTTAGTCGTTATATGTCCCCTAACCTTGAACCATTTTTGTGTCTTGGGGGATAGATGTGGCTCGGGCAGTACAGGTGTCGCCGCGGGGGCGCCTGCGCCAGCGGGTGCTATGCCCCCCATGAGCGAGAGGGGGCAGTGGCCAGCTGCGTGGCGCCCCCCCCAACCACTTCGTCGATATATGTCCCCTAACCTTGAACAACGTTTGTGGTTTCGGGGTCCGATGTTGCTCGGCCAGCACAGGTGTCGCAGCAGGGGCGTCTGCACCAGCTGGCGCTATGCCCCCCATGAGCAAGAGGGAGCAGTGGCCTGCCGCGTGGCGCCCCCCAGCCACTTACTCGTCATATGTCCCCCTAACCTTGAACCATTTTGGTGTTTTGGGGTCTGACGTGGCTCGACAAGCACAGGTGTCGCCGCAGGGGCGCCTGCGCAAGCGGGTGCTATGCCCCCCATAAACGCGAGGGGGCAGTGGCCAGCTGCGTGGCGCCCCCCAACCACTTAGTCGTTATATGCCCCCTACCATGCACCATTTTTGTGTTTGGGGCGTCAGATGTGGCTTGATCAACTCTGGCGTCACCGCAGGGGCGCCTGCGCCACCGCGTGCTACGCCCCCCGTACGCAGGAGGGGCCAGGGCCCAGCTGCGTTTCCTCCCAACCACTTAGTCATTTAGATGCCCCCTAACATTGAAAAATGTTTGCGTTCCGGGGGTTTGATGTGGCTCGACCAGCACTGGCGTCACGGCAGGGGCGTTTGCACCAGCGGGCGCTAGGCCCCCAGAAGGGGGCACTGCGCAGCTCGGGGGCGCCGCCCCGCCACATCGTCGTTCTGTGCCCCCTAATGCCAAATTATGTTTGCGCTTTTCCATTGCCCATCCCCTCGGTGGGCCCGGCTGCGGCCGGAGTGGCGAAAATGCTACCGGGCGTTGTGTCCTCACACGTAAAGGGGGCACTCCCCGTGGGTGGCGGCCCGCCCCCGCTCGCCGCGATCCGCCCCCTAATCTTGAACGTTTGTTATTGTTTCTCTTGTGCTTTGCTGTTCTCGGGTCAGGCAGCCCCCGCGGTATTCTTGGAAGTGAACCTGGGCGGGTACTTCTTCCACTTTCGCGCCGCGGTCCACATGCACGTGGTCGACTTGGACCTCGGTCAGCGGTGCGGCGCCAACCCTGAGTTCCGCTTGCGGGTGGGGAAGTTATGCGCCTTGGCGTTCATCCCCGTCGTCGACGTCGCCACTTGGTTCGAGAAGCTGGCTGGCGAGTTCGAAAGCCCCGAGCCTCCGCTCCTGACGCACTTCGAAAAGACTTGGGTGGGGGAGAAGCGCGCCAGGGCCAGGACGCGCAAGGCGCCTACGTTCCCAGTTGACCTGTGGAACGTTCGCGACCGGGCGCTGGCGAAAAAAAATCTCACCACGAACGCCGCGGGGTTGTTCCACCGGCACCATGCGACGCAGTTCCACAAGGGCGCGCACCCTTCCTCCCCGACGTTCATTGAGAGCCTGCACAAGCAGCAGAGGCTCACCAATCGGGACATTACCGATGTCATCATGGGCGGCGAGAAGAAGGAGCGCGACACGACCAGGATTCGCAACGACAGGCAGTTCATCTTGGTCGAGAAGTTCTTGCGCGACGGCGACGGCATGGCCCTCCTCACAAACATGGCTAAGCTGCGCATGGGGGCGACTGAGGCGGCCCGATCCGGCCCCAGCGGAGGCCGCACTAGGGCTGCATCCCTCGCGCGCCCTCCAAGCTCCGCCGGCTCCACAGTGGACCGGGTGGGAATGTTCTGGCTTTCCTGTGGCCCTCGCCTGCCGACGACGCATTCAGCGCCCGCCGCTGTACCTAACCGCCCTGCCGCGGTGCGTGGTCGTTCATGGCCGCGCAGGGGGCGGCGCCTCTTCGTCGCGCTCCGTTTCCTTCTCTGGGCGACCGCAGGGACAATGGCGTCTGCGCGTTCCATGGCCCTCCCACGAAAACGATGCCCGTTGCCAGCTGCGTGCCGCCGCCCGCCCACTTAGTCGTAACATGCCCCTCGATCTTGAAAGATGTTTGTGTTTTCGGGATATGATGTGGCTCGGCCGGCACAGGTGTCGCCGCAGGGGCCTCTGCTCCAGCGGGTGCTATGCCCCCCCACAAGCAAGAGGGGGCATCGGCCAGATGCGTGGCACCCCCCCGAACCACTTAGTCGTTATATGTCCCCTAACCTTGAACCATCTCTGCGTTTGGGGGGATAGATGTGGCTCGGGCAGTACAGGTGTCGCTCGCGCAGGGGCGCCTGCGTAAGCGAGTGGGGGCAGTGGCCAGCTGCGTGGCGCCCCCCAACCACTTCGTCGTTCTATGCCCCCTAACCTTGAACCGTGTTTGTGTTTTGGGGGTCCGATGTTGCTCGGCCAGCACAGGCGTCGCAGCAGGGGCGTCTGCACCAGCTGGCGCTATGCCCCCCATGGGCAAGAGGGAGCAGTGGCCTGCTGCGTGGCGCCCCCAGCCACTTAGTCCTTATATGCCCCCTAACCTTGAACCATTTTTGTGTTTTGGGGTCTGATGTGGCTCGACAAGCACAGGTGTCGCCGCAGGGGCGCCTGCGCAAGCGGGTGCTATGCCCCCCCATAAGCGCGAGGGGGCAGTGGCCAGCTGCGCGGCGCCCCCCAACCACTTAGTCGTTATATGTCCCCTAACCTTGAACCATTTTTGTGTGTTGGGGTATGATGTGGCTCGACCAACACTGGTGTCACCGCGCGGGCGCCTGCGCAAGCGGGTGCTATGGCCCCCATGGACGCGAGGGGTCAGTGGCCTGCTGCGTGGCGCCCCCCAGCCACTTAGTCATTATATGCACCCTAACCTTGACATATTTTTGTGTTTGGGGGGGTCCTGATGTGGCTCGACAAGCACTGGTGTCGCCGCAGGGGCGCCTGCACCCGCGGGTGCTATGCCCCCCATTACGAAGAGGGGTCAGTGGCCAGCTCGGCGGCGCCACCGCCGCACTTCGCCGTGACATGTCCCTTTCTGCTTCACGTGCTGCTCCCGCTCCCCCGGCTCCTCCGGCTCCTGCCCCTCCTGCTGCTGATGCCGCTGCTCCTCTTGCTGCTGTTGCTCTTCCTGATGCTGATCCCGCCCCTCCTGCTGCAGCTCCTCCTCCTCCTCCTCCTCCTCCTCCTCCTCCTCCTCCTCCTCCTCCTTCGAGTCCCTGCTGCTCCTCCTGCTGCTCCTCCTGCTCGGCAAACGGGGGCCCGGCTACCAGCGACCAGGATCCGGCGAAGGGGAACCGGCGAACGGGAACCGGCGAACAAGACTTCCGGCGAACAGGAACCGGCGAACGGGAACCGGTGAACAGGAACCGGCGAACAGGAACTGGCGAACAGGAACCGGCGAACAGGAACCGGCGAACAGGGTTTCCGGCGAACAGAACCCCGGCGAACGGGGACCCGGCGAACAGGACTTCCGGCGAACAGGAACCGGCGAACAGGAACCGGCGAACAGGACTTCCGGCGAACAGGGTCTGTATCCACACACACACCACACGCGCACACGCACACGCACACGCACCCCACCCTTTCCCCCCCCCCAAAACACACACACCATACACAAAGAAACGTCGATCCCCAGGAAAACATGGGAGATATGGGAAGTAGAGGGGCCTTCCGACAATCCAGAAAAGATTTGAAAATACCGGGAACCCTGGATTTGTGATTAGTGGTGTGTGTGTGTGTGTTTGTGTGCGTGCGTGTTTTTAGGTAGGTGTGTGTGTGTGTGCGTGTTTTTAGGTAGGTAGGTGTGTGTGTGCGTGTTTTTAGGTGTGTGTGTGTGTGTGTGTGTGTCTGGGCACCTTCGCCGTCGCGCGCCCGCCGCCCGTGCGAAGGAGACCGGGGCCGTGTGGCTGCACCTGCGCGGGGAGGACGCGCGCGCGCGCCCGCGCTCGCCGCTGGCGGGGGAGGAGGCCGCGCCCCCTCGCGGCATGGAGGAGTCGCTGCGGCGGGTGCCTGCAAAAAAAAAACCCTTCACGAAGGATTGCAAAAAAAAACCTTGAACGAAGGATTGCAAACAAAAAAAAAAACCCTTCGTGCAATCGGGCAACCCTTCGTGCAATCGGGGGATTGCGGTTTTTTTTGCAATCCTTGGTGCAATCGGGCGTTCGCTCGGCCCGCGGGGGCCCTGCACGGGGCCCCCTCCCGGGGCCGTCGAAGGGCGGCCGGGATGGGAGGCCCAGGCGCGCGGGGGAGGGGTGCGGGCCTTTTGGGGGCCCACGCTTCGGCCACGCGCAGAAAGGGGGGTTAGCGGGAGGGGGGGAGGCTTCTCAGAAGCACCCCTGCTTCTTGGAAGCCGCGGACCCTATCATTATATCATATTTACACACGTACATAATATAATATATATATATATATGTTATGTATACAGAAATACATACATCCATACATCCATACATCCATACATCCATACATCCATACATCCATACATCCATACATCCATATATATACACATATATACCTACCTACCTACCTACCTACCTACCTACCTACCTACCTACCTACCTACCTACCTACCTACCTACCTACATACATACATACATACATACATACATACATGTATACATATATATATATATATATATATATATATATATAAATATCACACTTGACGTCGGGCCGGCGCCTTCTAAAAAGCAGCCTATTTCAAAGACGCCCCCCCGCGTGCGGCCTACAGGCCCCCGCTGGGGGCGGGGGCCTCGAGCGCTGGGGCCGCGCCAGTGCCGCTGCCGGTGCTCCGTCGCCGCGGCGGGGGTGCGCTCCGAGGTCCCGGTCGCAGCGCGCGCCCGGAGCCAGGTCCCGTGGAGCAGCGGTGTCGCTGGCTCTTGGGCGTCGCGTCCCTCCTCCTCCTCCGCCTCCTCCTCCTACTCCGCCTCCTCCGTCTCCTCCGCCTCCTCCTCCTCCTACTCCGCCTCCTCCGTCTCCTCCGCCTCCTCCTCCTCCTCCTCCTCCTTTCTCCTCCTCCTCCTCCTCCTCCTCCTCCTCCTCCTCCTCCTCCTCCTCCTCCTCCTCCATGGGGGGGCGATGTACGGGGGGGGGGGGGCAGCGAGTGGTGCAGAAAAGGGCCACCCAAAGGGCCCCTGCCCTCGGGGGCCCACAAAGGGGGCCCCTAGGACCCGTGAAGTGCACCCTTCTCCCCCCCCCACATCACGGATCGCTCGCTCGTTCAACGATGCCCAACAGCGGTGTCGCCAGCTCTTTGTTCCCCGGGGAGGGGTCGGGGAGGAGGAGAGATCGAGGCCGCGGGGAGAGAGGAGGGCAAGGCAGACCTGCTCACGGAGGCCGAGTGACTTCTGCCAGCCCCGCCCCGCAAGGCGGCAGTGAAGCAGGAGCCTCTTCAGAAACTGAGGATCTGGCTCAGACGGCGGAAACGGATAGCAGGAGGAGGAGGAGGAGGAGGAGGAGGAGGAGGAGGAGGAGGTGGAGGAGGAGGAGGAGGAGGAGGTGGGGGGGGAGAGAATGATGATGATGATGATGATGATGATGATGATGATGAGGAGGAGGAGGAGGAGGAGGAGGAGAGGAGGAGGAGGAGAGGAGGAGGAGGAGGAGGAGGAGGAGGAGGAGGAGGAGGGAGGAGGAGGAGGTAGGAGGAAGCCTTTTTTTTCCCTCTTGCCCCCCCGTCCGTGTTCCTCCTCCTCCTCCTCTCCTTGTTCTCCTCCTTCTCATCCTCTTTTTCCTTGCATGCCCAAAGAGTCGGCAAGACATGAATGCCGCCTCCTCCTCCTCCTCTTGATTCAGCCCTTCCTGCCGCTGTTCCTCCTGCTTCTGCTGCTGCTTCTCCTCTTGCACATCGCCCTTATCCCGTCTCTTCCTCCTCCTCCTCCGCCTCCTGCCTTCCTCCTGCTCCTCCCCCTTATCCTCCTCATCCTCCCCCTCCTCTCCGTCCTCCTCATCTCCTCCTCCTCTCCGTCCTCCTCATCTCCTCCTCTTCTCCTCCTCCTTCTCCTTCTTCTGCCCCTTCGCAAGGCCATCGACGCTGACGGCGACGGCGGCAACGATGCCGACGGTGACGGCGACGACGCCGACGCCGACGGCGACGAGGACGACGGCGCCGACGCCGACGCCTCGGGGGGGGGGCGACCGGGCGGCCTGTTTGAGAGGACCTTGGGCACGCCGACCACAAGGCTCGGCGCTCGCCGTCGTCGGGCGTCGGCCTCGGCGTTGGCTTCGTCGTCTTCGCCGTTGTCATCGCCGTCACCGTTGTCGTCGTCGTTTGTCGTCGTCGTCGTAGTCGTCGTTGTTGTTGTCGTGGTCGTGGTCGTGGTCGTGGTCGTGGTCGTCGTCGTCGTCGTCGTCGTCGTCGTCGTCGTCGTCGTCGTCGTCGTCCTCGTCGTCGTCGTCGTCGTCGTCGTCGTCGTCGTCGAGGGGCTCGGGAGGGGCGGGGCGGGAGAAGGAGAGGACGGGGGGAGGGGGGGGCAGGGGTTGGACGGGTCCGGTCCGGCGTGGACCAGGAGGGGGAGCTCTCGGGAGGTCTTGGGGGTTTGGGGGATTCGGCGGGGAGAGAGTCGGTCGGACGGCGCTAGGACGAGGATAAATCCGTTCCAGGGCGTGCCAGAACGCTCTCAGAGCGTTGCAGAACGCTCTGGGAAGGCCGCGGCGCTCGATAGATCCTCCAGAACGGCGGGATGTCGGAGATTCTCGATTTATCGTCACCCGATTTTGTC